CCAGGGTACTTGGTTCTAACCGCTGACCTCGCCACCTGGCATTGGGCGCCAGGCCTGCCCAGGGCGCCTCACTCTAACAGCGTCACCCATCAGTAAATGTGGAGCGACCCGAGGACACGGAGTTTGGGCCTGAGCCCTTGGCTGACCGGCACCGCTCTCCTTGAGAGGCTGCCCTGGGCTCCGACTCTGGGAAGGCTCAGCCCCAACAGAGCAGAGCTGCCTCGGCCACTCCAGCCTACCTGTGGCTCCTCCCTCCCTCCTGCAGGGCTCGTACCTGCTCTCCCTCCAGGACTGGTAGGAAGCCTCGGGCTGCCGCGTCTCTCCGGACAGAGAGCACCTTTCCCTTCTGGCTGTGCCGGGGTGCACCGGCGAGGTAGGACATGCCACTGCGTGTGGTCACCACTGTCAGGGAGTAACCTGTGGGGGGAGTCACAGCAGAGCTGGGAAGCCGATCCCCAGGGCTGTCACGGCATCAGCAGAAATGTGACTCCTTTTGTGCCCGAGTGGGTGGGCAGCGAGGGGGAGGGGCTGAGCGGGTGGGCGGGGGCTGAGCAGCCAGACTGCCTCCCACCCCACACTGGGCTTCCTGGGGTGGGGGAAGGAAGGAGGGGCCAGTCTGACTGCTTCCAGTAGCGGGGTGTTTCCTAGGGTCCCCAGATTCGGAGCTGCCAGAGCCCTGAGAGAACATCTCCTCGGACCCCCTCATTTTACAGATGGGCAAGACGATGTTCACAACGGGGAAGAGACCTTCCCAAGGTCACCCCAGTGTTAAGTAGCAGGCCGAGGGCTCCACATCGGGGGAGGGGGCCCCATCCAGCACCTCTTCACTGGCGGTCAAAAGTTTGCCAGCAGCGCTTGCTCACTGACTTGTGCCCACACAAGGGTACACACACGCATGGCCACAGTCTGCCTCAGTTTCTCTATCTGTACCTGCACCCCCCTCGCCCCTCCATCCCTGCCAGAGTGCTTGAAGATGACCCTGAGCAGCCATTGGGATAGATTCTGGAAACCCAAGCTCAAAGGGGAGCAGGCCCAAGGGGGGAGATGCAAAAGGGACCTCCCAGAGAAGAGGCTGCCCAGCCTTGCACCTGAGCCCCGCCTCCAGCTGTCTGGGGCACTCATTAGGGGGGCTGTCCCAAGCTGGGCTGGTGGCCCCAGGGGATCCCTAGGATAGCTCTGGCTCTTTTGGGGCTGCCCCAGCCTTGGCCCTCACCCAGATAGCTGTAATGGGCAGTCCTGGGCTCCTTTGTGGACTCGTTGAGGAAGTGAAACAGGTGGCTGTCTGTGTTGTACAGCATGACCCCTCCTGACCAGTCAAAGGCCCCCACGGCTCCCAGCAGGACCTGTTGCTGCCACAGGGAGGAGAGAGCAACCACCGTCAGAGGGATGATAGGGAGAGGAGGGGATGGGGAAGGGTGGGGCAGGGGAAGATGAGATGGGGAAGGATGGGGTAGTTCAGGATGGGATGGGATGATATGGGTCTTACTTGTTCGTTGATCAAATAAGTGAATGATATCACCCTGTTCTAGGGGATTTGTTATAATGAAAATGGGCCAGAGGATGGAGGTGGAGAAGGCTGGAGGAGGGAAGTGGAATCTCTCCCCCCCTCCCAGATTAGCAGTAGCACCCGGTGCTCATTTGCCCAGCTGCCAGGCCCCTGATTCACAATATTTTAGCCCCTTGGGAGAGGGGTGGGAGGGTCATGTGTCATCTGTCTTTGTATCGTAGCAGGGTGCTTAGCATTTAGTAGGAACTTATGAACTATAATAATGAACAAGTGAATGAACAGATAAGTGAATGGGTAGGCGGGTGGATGGAGGATTGGATGGATGGATGGATGGGTGGGTAGATGGATGGGTGGATGGGTGGGTGGGTGGACCCAGAGGAGAGCTCACCCATACCTTGCCCAGGACGTGGGCACTGAAGCCGATCTGGGCCAGTTCATACTGTAAGGCTTCTCCGACAGTGCCTGTAAGACAGAGAGGCATGACGTGAGACTAAAACTGTTTTGCATTCTTCAAGGAGGAGGCCAGATGGTAAAAGAGGCCACTAAATGAAAGGTGCCCAGATCCCTAATTTAATCTGCAGCCAGGGTCAGTGTCCAGGCCATGACAAGCCCTAACTGAGGCTCCTTCCCAGCACCCTAGGTCTGAGCCGCAGACCTGAGGAAAGCCTTGGTGTAGATCAGGTTGAGGGCCTTGGTGTAGATCAGGGGGAGGGAAGGGAAGGCCTGGGAGGGAGGGGCAGAGTTTGCAGGACAAGAACATGTCTGTGAAGGGCAGGGACCATCCCTGCCCGCCCCCGGTGTCCTGCAGCCAATGCAGCTCCAGTATTTGAGGACAGGGGCAGCCATGCAGTGATCAGCCAAAACCTAATAGAAATCAGGCTCAAGGCTGCTCCACAGCCAGTATGTTTTCTTCTCTCATCTCAGCCGTGAGCCTCTGATTGCTCTGGTCATGGATGCGCATGCCCACGGGCTCTGAGACGCCTTCCTGCTGGCCAGAGCAACAGAGAGGGAGGAGGAAGAGAAAGAGAAAGGGGGAGAAGGAGGAGGAAGAGGAAGGAGAGGAGGGGGAACAGGAGGAGGGTCAGCCAGGGCAGCTGGGGGAGGGGCTTGGCTCAGGACCATTCCAGGGGCTACCTTCTACACTGATGATCCTTTGCTCAAGGCTGCCCAGCAATCCATCCAGAGCTGAGTAGTCCGTCACCTTGAAGGCATGGGTCTCATCTGGGTCTGAGGCGATCAGGTGCAGCTCCTGATTCGCCTTTGTGTTGTTGAAGGCGGCTCCAACCTGTGCCCAGTGCCGGGAAGGGAAGAAGCGTTTATTAAATGCCTACTATATACCAGGTACTGTGCCAAGTGCCACCTCTCGGTGCCGGGGTGGGGGGTGGAGAGAGAGAGAGAGAGAGAGAAGAAGAAGAAGGAGAAGAGGAGGAGGACGGGGAGGGGGAGGAAGAAAGGAGAAGAGAGACACAGAGAGGAGAGAAGGAGTGGGGAGAGAGACAGAGACAGAGACAGACAGAGACAGAGAGCAAGAGAGACAGAGAGATTGAGAGAGAGAGTGGGGGGGTGAGGGATGCATGGGGAGTGTCAGGATGTGGGGAAGGGAGTTTTTTTCCTGAGCAGGGAGTGGAGGGACAGGCGTGAAAAGTCAATGGTCAGGACTGTTCCCTCATTCCCTAGAGCCAATCACTCGACAGGTTTGGTGGACTCTTGAGAGATGGTGGGCTATGGTGGATAAGGAGTCAGCCTTGCCTCAGTTTCCTCATCTGTGGCTTGGCCACGGCAGCCCCTCCAGGGAGCTGGGGCGCTCAGAGTGGGAGTTCTGATGGTTCTTATTTTGCCTCCTGTACCTGTCCCTCCTCTCCATCCACACCCGCGCCAAAGCCTCCATCACCTCCTTGCAATCACCTCCACTCTGTCTCCCAGCAGCCAGAGCATCACTGCCTTACTCAAAAATCTTCGGTGACTCCCCAGTCCCTCTCCAATAAGATGCCAGGCCTGCAGCCCGGCAGCGAAAGACTTTCACGGTGCGGCTCTTCCCGACCTTCTCGATCTTATTTCATCTGTGGCCCTCCACACTCTCTGTGGCAGGCATGCCGGCGACACCCCACCTCCTGCCTCTGCGTCTGTCCCTCATGTCTACAATACTCTCCCCCTTCACCTCTGAGGTTCCTCAGAATTCTCGGCTTCCCTCCAAGCTGAGCTCGGGCACCCTTCCTAGCCACACAAGGCCTTGGCTGGCCCTCCTAGGCACTCGCTTCCTCTCCTCTGGAGTCACCCTGTCCGGCCCTTCTCTGCATCCCTGGCACCAATGGTTTTGGCTAGAGGGGTCAGGGCCAAGGCTTCTGGGAGGAGACGGCCTTGAAGGACGTCAGCTGAGATGGGGCAAGAGCCCACTGCGGGCCGTGGCCTAGAGGTAGCAGGGGTGTGATGGAGGGGACAAGGCTGCTGTCCTGGCTACAGAACTAAGCTCCCTGAGGGCAGGCCCATCGCTCCCATCTTGGCACCCAGCACTGGGCCTGGCTCAGGGGAGGTGGGTCATCCTCCCCGCAGGCCGCAGCGATTTACCCCGATGGCAAAGCGTTCGATGCCCTCCATCTGAGGGGAGTGGATTACAGTGCTCAGGTTCAGGGGGTCCTGAAAAATGTCACCATCTGTCAGCACCACAATGACCTTTGAAGCCTTCTCCTGAGATCCCCGGCTGGGAGTGAAGATGGAATCCCTGGGGAAGAAAAGGGGGGGGGGGGTCTCTGGAAACAGTGTGGAAGGATGCCCAGCCCACGGGAGTCGAGGCTCCACACCACTCTGCAAGGCCCCCGGTGGTTCCAGTGATGCCTGTGTGTTTGGGTGTGGGCACTTGGAGAGAGTTCCCAGTGACGATCAAGGTGGGGAGGCACCACCTGGGAGGCTGCTGGCCTGGGGGTTGCCATTTTGAGCCTCAGTCTCCTATCTGCAGAATGGGGATGGAAATCCTGACAGCACTAAGCACCTCGCAGGACTGTTGCAGGTGCCCCGGGGCGTGCCTCTGTACCCAGACAAGGTGCTGCCCTAGGTTAGGAGGACCAGCGCTGAGCATGACCCCCGCACTCACAGGACGTGCTGGATGGCTGAAGCAGTCTTGGTCACATGTCCCACTTGGATTATGTCCATGACTCTCTGGAGGGAGGCAGGGGCGTCTCTGCTGTACTCGAGGTCAAATTCTGTCTGAATCACTTCCCCATATTGCACCACCGCAAAGCGGCACTGAAAGAAAGCGGCGCCCCAGCCCCAGGCCCGGATGTTACACTCCCTGGCAGGCTGGAGGGAGCCTGGGGGAGCCGGGAGGAAGAGGGGTCCCAGGCTGGAATTTTCCTGCAGGCCCCTGTAGGATATCCCCTCCTCGTCCAACCCTCCCAGCCTCGAATGCTCTGATGGCCGCCAGCATAACATCTCCCCCGCCTCCAAGGCCCGGGGAGGGCTGGCCTCATTCCCATGGCTGCCCTGTCTCTGGGGGCCAGGCTTCTTTTCCCACCCATGCCTTTCTTTTCCCTGTCTGGGCTAGCCTCATCTTCCTGACTAGACCAGGATTCCCTGGGGGCAGGCCCAGGTCTGGGCCCTCTCCTGCTCTGATGTAAGATGTGCTCAAGGCACCTGTGTGAAATGGAATGGAACGTAAGCGGGCTTCACGTATTTTGTGTCCGTCTGTCATGACTACAGTGTGGGCTCTCACCAGCACTCAGGTTCAAGGGGCCCAACTGCTCTGAGCAATGGGGGAGAGTCAAGGGCAGAGCCTGGCGGCTCTTGGCCGGAGGGCCTGGGCTTGCAGCCAGGGCAGGTGCCCAAGGGCGGCAGGTACCTCAAAGCATTTCTCATAGAAGGTCTGCATCATGCGGTAGATGAAGGCCTTGGCTCTTTGGAAGTCAGGGGGGTCTATACTTCCGGACCCATCCAGAACAATGGCAATCTCCGTGCCTGGCATTCACAAAGAGAGATTCAGAGTAAATACTGGAGCCCTGGGGATGGAGTTCAGGACACCCTGAGGTGTGTGTGTGGGGGTGCTGTGAGGAGTCAGCCTTTACCTTCCAGGGCCCCCTTCCACCTCAGCCAGTGGGGGATGCTTGTCAGATACTCTGCTGCCCCCCTACCCAAATTCTGGACCAGAGCCCTCTGGGTGGCATGGAAGTTCCCCAGACCCTCGGAAGCCCTGTTAGTGGAGATAAAGCTCAGGCAGGGGAGGCCAGACAGGCTGGCGATACGCCATGGCTGCTGAGTGAGACCTGACCCAGTCGAGGTCAGAGAGCCTGGGACTATCTGGGCTGACCACAGGATGAAAGTTTGTGGTCACAGTGACCCAGGTGATAAGGACGCCAAACTGGCCCAGGTCCTGGGAGCCCCCTTGTTCTGCCCCAGGGACAGTGGGGAAATAGAGACAGGATCACACAGCCACTGTCCAGAGCTCAGCTAATGCCTGAGAACCAACCTTCCCTTAACTCCTGCTGCCCTTGGAAGACTGGACAATCTGAATGCTAATAGCGCACATTGATTTTCTAAGCATTAATAGCACTCAATGGTTTTGTGAGCACTAATAGAGCAGCATGTTGGTTTTCTAAGCATTAATAGTGCAGCACATTGGTTTTCCAGGAGTTAGTAGCGCACATTGATTACAGCAATTTGTGTTTTTTTTTGTTTTTTGTTTTTTAGGCAATTGGGGTTAAGTGACTTGCGCAGGGTCACACAACCAGTAAGTGTCAAGTGTTTGATCTGAGGCGGTATTTGACCTCAGGTCCTCCTAACTTTAGGGTCAGTGCTCTATTGGCGGCACCACCTACCTGCCCCTAGATTACAGCAATTTGCCACGTGCTTTACAAAGACTGTCTTTTTGGAGCCTCACGACAACCAGGAAGTGTCTGAGGCGGGATTCCAACTCTCCAGGCCCAGTGCTCTATCCATCCGACTGCCTTATCCCTGTGGATGACTAGAAAGCCCAAAGGACATTCCTAGGGAAATGCGTTATGACAAAACCAGCAGCGGGAGTGTTTGGCAGGATGGCTGTCCTCAGAGTAAGACAGGCTTGCTTTGATTGACTCCAAGGGGCAGAACCTAGAGTGCTGTGGGAAGGGGGCAGAGCTATAGGGAAGCAGGTTGGGGTTGGATCAAATCTGACCCTGAGAAGGGCTTGGCAAGCCCTCCCACCAGAGTGCTAGTCCTCCCTGAAGAGCTGGGCCTGGAGTCAGGAAGATCTGAGTTCAAATCCAGCCTCAGACACTTCCTAGCTGTGTGACCCTGGGCAAGTCACTTCACCCTGTTGCCTCAGTTTCCTCAGCTGTCAAATGAGCTGGAAAAAGAAATAGCCAAACATCGCAGTATCTGTCGAGAAAAGCCCGAGTGGGCTCACAAAGAGTTGGACATGACTGAAAAATGACTGAACGACAGGTGTCAGCTATTATTTTTGTTACCATTATGATTATTATTGGCTCTCTGGGCAAACAGCCTGGCCGCGAGAGCTGCTCCAAAGCGCTCCCCCCGTCCCCCGCCTTGGCCATTTCCAGGAGTCCTAGAGGTGAGTGCTGCTCAGCCCACCTCCCCCGCCCTGCCCTCTCACCTGCCCCCCCATCCTCCTCCTCTTCCTCCTCCAGGGCCCGCTTCTCCTTGATGCGGGGGTTGTTGTTGTGGCTGTTACAGTCGGCGTTGGGGCGGTCCTGGTGGGGGCTGACAGCAGCAGGATCCAGGCTCAGGCAGGAACAGCCAGGATTTCCACCCCAGGTTTCTTGGACTGAGAGATTCTCTTTAGGAAACAAGGCAGGGTCACCAAAGGCCAAGCTCCACCCCACCCTACCTCCTGGGCCTCCCCCAGGAACTCACCTACACCGGGGAAGCTGATGCAGCTCTGTAGGCCCAAGTCTGCCCCCAGAAGGCTGCAGGCCCCGTTCAGCTCCTGGGCCAGGCTCCGTGGGATTCCTCGCCTCTTCACCTGAGCACACACCTGTCGAGAGATGGAGCTGAGGCACCTGGGGGGCGAGGGGTCAGTGCCCTGTGTGGGAGAGGCAGTGACCCTCTGCTCTGCATGGGGGTAGTAGTGACCTCTGCCCGGCGTGGGGCAGCAGTGACTCCCATCCTGTGAGGGACAGACCCCCACCACCGTCCATCCCCCATCCCCTACACTCACCACCAGTGTGCCATCTGGACCCCGCGCCATAGAGACCTGAGGGCGTGACGTCTGAGGAGTGGGCACATACTCTGTAATGGTTTAAGACACAGGAGGGAGGGGGCCAGGAACATGGGAAAGGGAGAACAGCCAGAAGGTGGAATACTCAGTGAGGAAGGTCCCAAGAGGCCATGAGCTGGCCCTCTACTGGGGGGAGGCCAGCCTGGCCTGGAGATCATTGTCAGGGCCAACAAGGGCCAGGCCTTGGCCTTCAGGGCCTCTGTCCCCTTTCTGGTGTCAAGGCCTTCCCTAAAGGTGGGACTGGCCCTTAGACAGCATCAGGACCACTACCTTTATTTTCCAGTACGGCAAACTGGGGCCCATAGAGGATATGGGGCTAACCCAAAGCCATACAGACAGTTAGGGGTCAAGCCGGGATTAGAACCCAGGTCCTCAGCCCACCAATCAAGGGCCCTTCCATCTCACCCCTCACCCTGCCCCTCCCTTGGGCAGCCTGCTTTTGTTCAGGGCTGCAAACCCACCTCCCAGAGCTCATGTGAGTGCCTGGCTGTGGCCAGACTGCTGGAAGGTAGCAGGGGGCCAGGAGGGCAGCTCCTGAAGCTAGAGAGGGAGGAGGCTCCATGCCCTGAGGGTCCATGGTTGGCCTTAGAAGGCCTGGGGTGGGATGGCCTCCGAGGTGGGCCTGCGGGAACCTCTGGGGCCAAAGCTTACTCACTTAGGGGCTGACAGAGGATCTGGTCATTCGGGCTGAGGCTACAGTTGTGGAAGTAGGCAGCTCCCTGCGCTCTCCAGGGTCCAGTAACAAGGAGCCTTGTCAAGGGAAAGAAGAGCCAGGGAGTCCCACTCTACCTGCCTGCCCGGGCCCCGTCCAGCTGCCCCTGGTGCCCCTGCCCACACCATCCTCTGCATGACCTCCCAGCTGGGCAAGCCCAGGGGTATTCTAGAGAGATCAGCCAGGCACCAGGCCAGGGCTAGGGGACCTATGTCACACCCTGCTGGCTCTGATGCGCCAGGCCAGGCCCCCCCGGGGGCCACCTAATCCAGTCCTACAATTGTACAGGTGAAGAAACTGAGAGTCAGACAGGGCTGCCCCATGTCAACATAGCTGAGATCAAGGCCTCTGAGGGCATCTCAGCTCCGCCCACTGGGCCGCCACAGGGAAAGCCGGAGAAAGGCCGGGGCTGCGGGGAGGCCTCAGAGACCACCCACCCTCTGCCATGCAAAGATGAGGACTGAAGCCTGCCCCGCACAGAGTGAGGCAGGGGGATTTCTGTTGGGTTTCCGCACAGCCTGGCCAGCGGTGCGCCCTGTCCCGGGGGAGGGGAACCTCGGCTGCTGGCCACCCTTTCCTGTGTGGGTGGGTGGACGTGGATGCTGGGTGCAGGGGCTGGGGGAGGAGGGGAAGGTGAGTCAGCAGGAAGGAGCAGCTGCCGCAGGCGGGGTCAGCCAGTGCACACAGAGCTGTTAGAGAATCTGGCGCATTCAGAGGAAGCAATCAGGTCATCTCCACAGCAACAGCTGCCCCAGGAGCGGCTAGGAGGCAGAAGTGGACTGAGACCCAGCCTTGCTCTGCAGGGAAGCGACCTGCCCCCCTCGCCCTCAGCTTGTCCTCGCTTTGCTAGCGCAGGATCGGGCCGGCTGGCGCTCAGGCCACCCCTTCCGAGAGCCTGCGTCTGTCCGTTCTTCCTCGGTCTCCCCACCAGCTGCCCGTCCCCCTCCCCAGAGCCCCCGCTGCGGGCACACCCAGCCGGTGGCGGAGGCAGAAGCGTTCCCTGTCAAATAGGGACACACGTGTGACAGCGGAATCTCATGCCCCTCGAGGGGCCGCTAAGCCGCAGCAGGTCCCGTCACATCCTGCCCAGCCTAGGCTTTGGGGTTCTTCTCTGCCCCGCTCCCATGAGCCCTTCCGATCGTCCGAGTCTGGACCCTCCCGTGAAGTCGAAACTGGAGTCCCTGGCCAGGCGGCCGAGGACCCTCGCGCTCCACCAGACAGGAGAGCCCCGAGAGGGCAAGGGATTGAGTCTGGGGCACACAGCACTGCATTGCTAGGACATGACCCCAAGAAAGAGGATCTGGGGGTACTCAGGGAAACACTTATAACATCAGACAAGGGGAAACAACCAGTCAGAGAAAACAGAGAAGCCGAAAACGCCAGAGGAGCGCTGAAGACAAGGTGGAGCGCCTCATTCAGGCGGAGGCAGGGGAAAACCTGTAGAGCCTGGCCCTGCACACAGAGGGTGGAGGAGACCCGGCCTCAGGGCCAGCCGCAGAGGGGTCTGACTGTTTGCTCATTTACTCGCTCTGCCTCATCAAAGACAAAGGCTCAGCAGCTGGATTTTGTCCCTGGTTGGGAATGTTTGATGACAGAGTTTTGGGATACTTGTTAAGCTTATAATTAAAAATGTTTTAAAAATCAGATGGTGTCTAAGAGTGGGATTTGGCTTTGGGGGCTGTGGCTTTCGACGGGACTTAGGCAGGCGGCGGGCCAGGGATGGAGTGACCCTGATGAGGGCTCTCAGCAAAGGAACTTCAAAGACAGTGCCCACATAAAACCCAGTGAGCGATGTGGCCACCGCGCTCCAGAGGGGTGTGTTTTCACTCTTCTTTTTGGTCAAGAAATGGTACGCTCATAAAAGAGTGAGGGCTTGCATGGTTGCAACTGCTATATTGGGTTTATTTGTGCGAGGAAAATGCCAAATCCTATTCAGAGGGTCTGGGGAGGGCCAACGCGGCCAACATCTCTTTACCAAACAGCTCCCTAGAAAGTCTGTTTTCTGCTTAGCCCCAGGGGCCCCTGGACAATCTTTGCTCAGGCGCAGATGGAGGGGAGAGGGCTACAGCAGCTCCCTCACCAGGTGAGCTATCCCCCAGCAGAGGGGCTGCCTCCAGGGGGCTGGGGAGGGGGCTCTCCCTCATCAGAGGCAGGACGGCCATTGGTCCAATGTGTTAAGGGAGGGATACCTGGTGTGTTTTATGTGCATAGAGTGCCTGGCCTGGGCTGCCCCTCCCCTTCAAGGGGGCCTCCTGGCCAAGCACCTCCATTCTTACCGGGCAGCCCCAAATCTTTTTTGGAGTAACTGCTCCCCCCACCTAGTGTTTGAACCTGAGGCAAGATTTTATTTTACATTTAATTGTGTTTGACATGGTCTGAGACTCTGGTCCACTGAGGTCCCGGGCTTCTGACTCTGCTGCCCAGGGGGTCAGCAAAACCAGTCTATGCAGGTCCTGTGGGATGCTTCGGGCAGGACCTGAGGTCTCAGGAGCATGGCACCTAGGTCTATCAGGGAACTTAGCAGGCAGAGAGGTAAACTGAGGCCCAGAAAAGGGAAACAGCTGCTTGAGGGTCTGGGCCTGGTCGGGGTCCTCTGGCAGGTGAGACAGAAGGAGAGGAAGTGAGGGGATTTCTCTCTGTGGCCTGAGGTTTCCTCTCCGAGAAACAGTTCCCCAGCCCAACTTCTTTCCTCTTCCTTTTCTCTGTGACTGCCTCTAAATAAGGAATGGGAATTTATAACAAAGAAAAAAGGAAGAAAAACATGCACCCTGATTTCAGAATTGGGCTATGGAACTCTCACTTCTGGATTCCCTTGGGGCTGATGCTTTAATTATTCCTCCAGCTTGGGGGGACCCGAGAGACAAGTGTGCCCGCTGCTGGCGAGGCCCTGACTGCCTACCAGGCTCTGTGGGCCCTGGCTCCGGAGCCCGAGGACCTGGCCTTGAGGTCTGGGTCTGGCTATCCTTTGTGTACACTCAGGCAGGTCCATGCCCCTCCCTGGGCCTTGGTTTCCTGCTCATTAAGATGATGACCCCTGAGTTCCCCTTCCCTCCTTTCCCCCTAAGCTGACCAGAAGCCAGAGGAGACCAGCCTCCTCCTCTTACCTCGGCTAGGAAAATGTATCTGAGAACGAAGGCAGCTCTGGGGAACCTAGGAATGGGAAGGGCAAGCCCTCCCCCAGTCAATAATCTCTAGCTGCTCTCTGTTCCCTCCATGACCAAATGGGGCCTTGTGGCCCAGGAGTGCCAGAGAAAACGGTCCCTAACCCCTCACAGGGACGCCTAGAACCCGGAGCCGGAGCCTGACTTTCTCACTCGGGGCAAATGAAGACAAAGAGTTCGAGGCCCAGGGAAGTTAAGGGTGTGTGCTCAGTCAAAGCCAGTCCCCATCATTCCTAGAGCTTGCCAGCCCCCTTGGGCCACCGGCTGAGCAGCTCATGCTGTCTCCCTCCCCCCCTTTTAAAAATAATCTATTTATTTTTAGTTTTAACATTCACTTACACAAGATTTTGAGTTTTAAATTTTCTCCCCCTCCTCCTCCTCTCCCCCCACCCCGCCCAAGATGGCGTGCACTCTGATATAGGCTCTGCTATGCATTCATATTAAGCATATTTTCACATTAGCCATAACGTAATGAACAATTAGAACTAACGGGGGGAACCCCGAGGAAAAAGAGAGAAAACAAAACAACGGAAAAGGAAAAGGAGAGCAAAGAGTCTGCTTCCTCACGATGGCTCGCTTTACCTCAGTGAGGGTGGCAGAACCAGTAAGGGAGAGCCTGGGGCTTAGGGTGCAGACGGCCTTTAGAGCTGGTGACAGAGGAAAGGCAATCTGGGCCTGATCCCCTGATCTCCCTGGGTCCCATGAAGGCCAAGCAGGACCCTGTGAGGTCTGCACAGGTGAGCGAGCCCTGGAGAGACGGAACAGGCCAAGGTGAGCTCATGGCTGAGGGGTTCAAGAGGCCTGTGCACAAGGAGGGAGCAGAGGTGGGGTGTGGGCTGATCAGAGCTGAAGGTCCCAGGGGGCCCAGACTGGCTAGTGGGGCTGGGCACAAGAAAGGAGGAGGATAAAGAGGGGCAGGAGCCTGCTTGGGGTGGGCAAGGGGTCCACGATGACCAGGGACAGAGAGAGGGCAGAGCAGCGCAGGTCTTTCTCGGGCAAGGAGAGTGACCCGGGACTGGAAAGGACAGAACACAGGTCACTAGGAAGGGCTTGAGAGCCCAGACCAGGAGGGGGCCCTTGGGACAGGGCATCTTGTCTCCCCACCCTGCATACATAAGGGAGAGCCAGAGCCAGACGCTTTTTGACTTGGGGGTTGGAAGGATGAGGGAGGTTTCAGGAACAATCAGGAGAGGGGGTGGCCTGGCCATCCTCCTCCTCTGTTGGGTTAGGAGTAAAGGCAGCCCAAGAGCACACAGGCCACAGAGAGGAGGTGCACCTTTGCGAGAAGAAGGCATGCCCCATCCTAGTTTGCTGCCCAGGGGCAAAATGCAGTCTGTCCAGGGCTAGTTGTGGCTCTGTCCTCAGAGGGGCTGCTGGTGGAGGCAGTGTCAGGGGTTTCTTGAAAGATTGTGGAGAGCTGGAGAGGTATCCTAGTACTGGAGAAGGGCAAACATTCCAGTGTTCACAAGGACGACAGTCTGTCACTATAGACCAGGAAGCAGCCCCAGCGGTGCTGGCAGGATCCCCACCTGAGTGAGCATCAAAGTGTAGAACAGGAGGGCGGGGACCACAACTCTCCCCAGATCATACCCAGCTGGAAGGAGGCTGCTTAGACAGAGGGCATGGGTGTGAGTCTGTTCTGTTGGGATGATCTCAAAGGAAGCATGGAAGGGTGAGAAAGGGAAGGAAAAGGAAGAGCTGGGGAAACTTTCTCACATAGAAGAGGTGTGCAAGAAGGAGTTTATACAAGGAAGGGGAGATGGGGGGGTGGGGGGAGCAGGCGATGCTTGAACCGCATCTGAACTGGTGCAGGGAGGGGAGAACACACACACACACACAACTGGACAGAGAAATTCATCTTATCCAACAGGGAAGTA